CTTCCTGGTTTCCCATTTTTTTTTTTTTTTTTTTTGGTGCTACCAGGTATTGAACCCAAGGACTTTCCACTAGGCTACATTCCCAAACAAACCTTTTTCACTAGGCTACATTCCCAAACAAACCTTTTTTAATATTTTGCCACATGGTCTCATTAAGTCATTAAATTGCCCAAACTGGACTCAAACTTATGATCCTCCTGTCTCAGCCTCCCAGAGTGCTTGGGTTTCTGGTATGTGCCACTATGCTCACTTCTGATATAACTAGGACGGGTACTGGCTAAAGTACCCTCAGCCAGTGAGGTAGGATAGAAGGAAAAAGAGAGGTGGAAAGGGTATAAGAAAAATCATAATTTTAAAAGTCTACTTTTAGGAAAAACTACAGCTTCAGGACACAAAGTTATCCAAGGTTTCATTGTCCTTTTCTCTTCCCAGAAACTCACTCCCCAAAATTCCCAACATTCTTAAAGATACAATAAGCCTGTAAGGTGGCCTTGCTCTTTTCTCCGCAAAGACTTCCATCCTCAAGGAAGCAACATTATTAAATAGGTAGTACAGTGGACTCCCTAAATTCGCTCTCAGATTGGCTACTTGCAAACTTCCCACCAAAAAAACAACTGCAAAGGATATTTGAAATTGCCTTGAAATTCCGAGGGTTTCCACAAACATTTATTAGTTAGGTCTATGGAAAAAAATCTAAGAATGACTGAGGCCGCAAACTCTCAACTGCAAATTCACAGGGCTATACTGTACATCTCTAAACTTCAAACACATGCACATGGTTTGCATTCTAACTGAGCCCACAAAATGAGCTAGCCTGGCAGATAGTACAAATACACATCTTACATCTTACATCACAAAGATATCCTCAAAAAAAAAATATTCCCAACTCCAGACCATCCAAAATGAGTGTCTACCCTGCCAATCTGAGTGTGTACTTCTTTAATTCTGCCTAAGAAACCTTTCCATGCTATTCACTCACGTGTCCTAAAATTCTTTTCTGCGGCAGAAGTCAGTAAGCCTACAACCTATTCATTGGTGGGATGAGTGCAGGTCCCCATGTTTCTTTTGGGGACTTCCTTAGACCCACTTGGTGATAGTTTTATAAGAGATTTTGAAAGAACAAGACTGGAGATTAGCTATAGGCAGCCTGAAGGAGAGGTTTGTGAGTAGATATGTTTCTTGTCCAATGTAAACATTCATCTGAGGACATTCAGTATGTAGAAGGTCATTGTAACATTCCCAGGAATGTTGGCCTTTTTTCCTCAAATGCCCCTTGCATTAAGAGCCCATGTACAAATGGCTATAGCAAACAAGTTGGAGACTATGCCTAGGTCGAACCTAAGGAGCTGCCCTTCATCATGGCCTATGTGCATGGCTACTGATGAACCAATAGCATTCTATTCTTTGGGGGATACCAGCTAGTTACCTGGTGGCAGATAAATTATATTGGACCTGTGGAGAGGGCAGCTATATGTCTCCAAGCATACATACCACAGTCCTATAAGGATGTGCCCTTCCTGCCTGCAGCACTAAGCTCTATGGTCAGACAGAATGCTGTATCCATCTCCAAGGTATCCAATGTCCCCTCTAACCAGGGACCACATTTTCCATGAAGGCAGCATGACAGCAAAATTATGGCGTACAGTAGTCTGACCATATACTGTGTGTTAAATTAGATTATTGGTTAAAATGTTGACAAAAGTCCCTTTTCCTGTATGGGAAGAATAGACTTCCCTGTTTCATTTACATTGGACTTAGCTGTGTGGATGTTACCAGATGTGATCCAAGCAGTGGCTTAAAATATGCTGTTCAGTTCAGTTTGTTTTCTTGCTTCTGCTGTCACCATGAAAAGAATGCACGCAAGCCCAGTGGCCCAAGGAAGATGAGAAATATTTGGAAAAGACCTGATGCCAATCTGTAGCTTGAAGACCAATCAAATTGAGCACAACCCAGACCAGCTGACCCCTAAATGCAAGTGCGAGAATAAATAACTGGCTCTGAGTTTTGGGGCATTTTGTTATACAGCATTATTGTACCGATAGAGGACTGATATGTGCCTCATTACCCAAAACCATCTGGCTGAAACAAATAGTTGAACAGTACCTGAGAGAACCATATAAACCTTAAGCCAGTAGATGATCTTCCCTATAACAGAATACATGTTATTAATTTTTTGTATATTTATTTTAAAGAATTCTTCAGGTATCTTCATTTCCATGAAATAAGTGAGATATCTATGACCCACACTGAGGTCAATAAGCAAGAGTCTCTTTTGCTCTTTTTCCCAAAGGAAGGACACTGGTGAAGACCACAAAAAATGAGAGATGGGAGAAGGGGACACAGTCAAGGGCACACAACTCTCCCACACTTACAACTCTTAGTCTCTATCCCTGTTTTTTTTTAAAAATGTAAGCATGGAAGTATGCTGTCATCGCCAGGGGCATTCTGTCTGTACCTGCCCATCACAGGTGTACTTGCATGTATAGTCCTGTAACTGGCACTGCAAAATGGAACTTTAAAATATTTTTTTTCTTTTAGGGATAAGCAGTTTCTCCAAATGTGTTCCTGCTGAGTACATAGCACCTCCTCCCACTTCACCTCAAAAGAGGGACAGAATATGCAGGTGCCAGACCCAGGAAGCTGGAACCCAGTTTTCTTTCCACAAGAAAGGGCTATGAATTGAATGAAGATGAATGGAAATGTTAAAGGAAGTGTAGAGGTCCACATTCTCTCTCTCTGTACCCCACTTCCTTCCTATGAAAGACCCTTACTCACCTGTACTTGATGAGATGCTGTTTTAAGAAAATGAGCCCTGCTATCTCCTCAAAGCTAGATTTGAATAAATCCTTTTTCTTTTTACTAAATAAATGACCTCCTCTGATTTGTACAGCAGCAAGCAAATGAACCTTACTTACATATGAACTTGATTGGCCAGTAACAGTTTTTGGCAAAGCCAGCCAGAAGGTAAGTCCCTGCTCCTGAGAGCCATGTGAAGCCCAGTTTCCTAGTGGCAGAGTGGTGGGCACTTGGGAAAAGGGATTTATTGTTCATGGCTAGCTGAGTCCATGGTCAGGACTCCAGGGATATTCTAGAAGGTGCCAGGGACACTTTCATATTTAGGAATCTCCCTCCTTTCTTTTTCGTGGCGTCAGCAGCCTGTAAGTGCTTTTGTTGGTAAAAGGAAAGAAGTTGTTTGGGGAGCTCATAGGCTCTACCTGGTTTCCTGCTGGAAAGTGCATTCCGGGGATCTACTGTTCCTACCATTTGAGCCTTCTTTTAGGTTGCTCCACAGCGCCATCTAGGGTAAAGTAAACACCTTCACCATTTGTCACTGGACCTACTAGAGGTCATTTGGAAGCACTGATGATGTGAGAAGAGATAGAAAAGAGACAGAAAAAATCTACAAGCAATTGTTTTGTTAGTTTTGAGTGTTCAATTGTTTTCACTTTATTTACTTATTTTTATTTTTTGAATTTTTGAGATGTAGTTCAGGCTGGCTTTGAATTCACTAAATAGCTCAGGCTGGTCTCAACTTATGGAAATCTTCCTGCCTCAGCCTCCTGAGTGCTGGGTTTACAGGTGTGCACCACCACTCCTGGCTCTTCGGTTTCCTTTGGTTTGCTTTGACTTGCTTTGATTTCCTTTCTCTTTCTCTTATAACCACCTTTATTCAATGATAGGCAGTGGGATTTCAGTACCATTTGGAAGCTCTATACTAGCCACAGGTTGCAGCCAGGATTCCATAGTGAGAGGGGTGCTTGAGCTATGTCTTCTCCACCATATGAATATAAGGCAATAAAGGTCTCCCCTTCTAAGACCCAGTGGAGTACTGTTTGGCCAGTGACCTCCTCATTTTGGGAAAGGACAGTATCCTCTAATGCA